CTCATAGGAATGCTCCTCTCTAGAGAAGCCTAGCCATGTGGCTGTGAGCCTGGAGATATTTAAGGGGCCCTTAAGCTTTTGGCCTCACCCTTGGCAGACCCAAAGGACACAGTGGGATCACTGGTTGGGAGCATCACCTGGAAAAATCACCTGATGTAGCAATATAACATTTTGTGGAAATAAAAAGCACTTTGTTTCCACCTACCTTTTTTTTTTCCTTTTTAAGAAACACTTGAAGGGCTGAGGATTTAGCTCAGTGGCAAAGTGCTTTCCTTGCATGTGCAAGGCCCTTGGTTTTATTCCCCAGTAAAACACACACACACACACACACACACACACACACACACATGCTTCCCATCTTCAGGTATCCTGAACTATCAAATAGGCACCATGTTGATGAGGAAAAGGCCATGAGTGTCACTGAGGAGGCTTACAGGGTGGGGAAAGAGGAAGTGCATGGCAGGAAAGGAAAGAGTAGCAATTGAAAGAGGTACCTGGGGGGAACCATCATCAGACTCAAGCTTGGGATCTGTTCCTGGCCTGTGGGAGAGCTGCCCACCTGACTCCCATGCTGCACCCTCTACAGGATTGAGCCCAGCATTGACCCACTGGGGCATCACTCCTGGACATTCCTGAGCATCTGCTGAGTGCCAGGCCTGGACCCTGAGGAGCAGTCACAGTGGGAAAGCCCTGGAAACATCAGAGCGGCCCTGGTGTGCCACGCTGGCAGAGTGCTTTTTATAAACAGTCCTAGTTAATCCTCACAACAAAAACATCAGATGGATCATACCCTTCTCTGCTTCCCATTGGGCTTAGAGTAAAACCCAGACTCCTCCTCTGCATGCCCAGTCCCTGAGCACAGTCTCCCTGCTCTTGGCTGCCCTGCCAGCTGCATTGTTCTCTCCCTGGAGCTCTTTCCTGCCTTCGGGCCTTGACAGAAGCCTTTTTAGCTATCCCCAGAACCCTTTCCATGGCTTTTTTCCTGGCTGCCTCCTTCTTATCTCTGTGGCTCATATGTCATTTCTCAGGAGGTATCCAAACTGCAGACCCTCTGTAAAGTTGCCATTGCCACGCAGATACTCTTTGGGGAGCCCCCACAGTCAGAAACTGACACAACTCTAGCTCCCAGTCTCACAGGGTGTCAAGTGGAACTTTTCTTACTTTCCTGGAACTGCCAGTGAGGCCCAAAGCTAAGGACAAAAGACAGTGCTTCTACCATTCCAAGCTCAGGAAGCTGCAGACAGCTGGGGCTGGCCGGAGCTGCTACCTGGAGACCCAGCCCTGGGAGACCCCTGCTGTGAATTTGAGGAGGGGTGTTTCAGGTGAGAAACTACTCTCTGCCCTATGGTGGCCAAGAAAATCATATAATAGCCGGTGGTGCCTATGCAGAGCCCTGCACTACTGTGTGTCCAACAGCCTGGCTGTCTATCCTGGGCTGCCCAAGCATGGGGGCATAGGAGGATGCATTGTTTTTGCTGTGTCACTCCAACATCACCTGTACCTTAGTGAGCCCAGAGACAAAACTCAACCCACAGGTTCTGCCTAGAAACAAAAACTTTTGTGGGGTCAATGTTATTTATTAGCTCTATTTTACAGATTAGGCCACTGCAATATAAGGAAGATGCAGGGCTTAAGCAAATAAATGTCAGAGGTGAACTTTGCAACCAGACCTGTTTACCTGCACAGATGGCCCATTCTTTAGCTTCTGCTTCCCTTCTCTCTCCCTGGCCACCAGGGTGAATGCTGGGTATGGCACCTTTGTCAGGAGCTAGGGAAATAAGCATGTAATGTTGTGTAACAGCAGCAGTCCAGCTGGTGGACCAACAAGGAAAGAGTCACTGTAGCTATAAAGATTCACCTTGTTGGGATGGGGATGTGGCTCAAGTGGTAGCACGCTTGCCTGGCATGCATGCGGCCCGGGTTCAACCCTCACCACCACATACCAACAAAGATGTTGTG